TGATGGTGGTGGTGGTGGTGGTGGTGGTGGTGGTGGTGATGATGATGATGATGGAGATGATGATGATGATGATGGAGATGATGATGATGATGGAGATGATGATGATGATGATGATGATGGAGATGATGGAGATGATGATTGTGAGGGGGAAGGGAAAGGGAAAGGGGCTAGGGTGGGGGAGGAGGGAGAGACGGGGAGAAGTCTCAGACTGTAGAGTTATCAATTGGGTGAGAGTCATGAAAGGAGGACAGAAGAGAACCTGTTTGGAATGGAAAGGAATTGAGGTGGGGAGGGGTGGGGGAGGAGAGGAAAGGGGAGGGAGAGATCAGGGTTACAATGTCCTGTCTCTCGAATGCCGCAGGGTCAGTTTGACCAGGACAGTAGTGAGAAGAGAAGTAGTTGTTAGCAGCCAGGCAAGGTTGATAAGACAGGTTCCATGAAAAGCAGCATTGGGAGCAGGAGACGCAGCAGTGGCGAAAGGGAGGAGGAGGAGGAGGAGGTGGAGGAGGAGGAGGGAAGGAGTACAACGAGAAGGAAGTACTGGAAGAACAAGAGGAAGTCTGGGAGGAGGTGGTGGTGGGTGACTGGTTCTGATCAGTTAGTAGGACATGAGAAGCTTCTAGCGCTTTGCGAGCCCGTCATGGTCGCCAACTGTGCCAAGCGCGATCTCCTCGGCCTCACCGCAGAGTTCGATGTGCGGACAGGCTACTTGCTGGTGGAGGAGGAGGGAGAGCTTGGGAAGCAGCACCGGGGAGCCTACGACACGTACACCAACACGCTCATCCATCACCTCGGTCGCGACGAGGTTCACGTCCTCACGCGCAACCAGCCTCGAGCGGCAGTGCGAGGAGGAGGTGTCGGACAGGACATGATCTTCGCCCCGAGGAGAGGGGACCGAGTTGTCTCCTGCAACTACCGGGAGCTTGTACCTCCTGCCAACTGGCTGGAAGTGGATCCTCCCGGAGGAACGCAGGCATGGAACGTGGAGGGAAGGAGGCTGCTGTGGAAGGAGAGGGTGGAGGGAGCATGGCGTGAGGCCTTGCGGGAGATTGACGAGGTGAACCCAACGCTGCTGGAGCTCGAGCGAGGGGTGGGAGGGTGGCTCAGCGTCACCTACGAGCCCTACAGCCTCTGCCTCGCCTGGAAAGATGCGGCGCAGGAGGAGGAGAAGGTGAGCCCGCAAGGACGCGACAGCTTCCTCCCCAGCAGCCTCGGCATGGCCATCGACTCGCGCGACTGGGGGATCGTGTGCGTGTTGCCTGGGAGCGCCAGCGAGGAGGCGGGGCTGACGGCAGGAAGCATCATCCTCAAGATCAACGGCGAGAGCACGAGCAGCTTCCGAGCATGGAGCCTGGCGTCCGTGTTCAAGTCCATCCAGCATGGCTCCCTGCCCGACATGAGCGGGGACGCGCTCTTGGCAGGGGATCATTGTATGTCTCTGACCGTCCTCCAACACCCTCGAGACCCGGTCTCCTCTGCCAGGAGGGTCTGCCTGCCGCTCCCCCCGCTCTCATGCGACGCTCTCTTCCCTCCGTGCTCGGCAAGTGTGCGGAGGAGGAAGAGGTGCAAAGGCCTGGAGCCTCGCAGCAGCCGCAGGAGGGGGACGAGAACCCAGCGCTGGTGAGAGGAGGAGGAGGAAGAGCAGGAGGAGGAGGAGGAGGAGGAGGAGGTGCAGGTGCTGGAGGAGGAGGAGGGTGGGGTTGGGAGGAGGGACGATCTTTGACGAGACAACTGCAGAGTGATTGCATGCCCGACGGACATGCAGGCATCGCGCACGAGGAAGAAAGCTTAGCTCTTCCGGATCCTGCAGCTCCAGCTCCAGCTCCAGCTCCTCAGTCCAAGAGATTGGGTTCTTCTCACCAGGACGAGATCCATGGGGGAGGTGTGGGCAGTGAGTACCAGACAGCAAGTCTGGCCACCTTCCTTGACCAGACGCTGTCACGGCAGCACGGGCGAGGCGAGGAAGAGCGAGGAGGAGGGCAGGGAGAGCGGAGGCACCAGAGCGAAGGGGAGGGGACGAGGGAGGGCGGGGAGGGAAGAAGAGCACGTTGAGGAGGAAGAAGAGCGCTAAGAGGATGGTTGTGAACTTGGATGGCTCCATGGCACCTCCAGGCAGCGGAGGCAGCACGAACGCCTCCCTCGCCTCCCTCCTCGCCTCTCTCAAGGATCGCAACGAGGCTCCACCTGCAGACTATGAGAGCAACACCATAGCAGGGAGAGAGAGGAGGATGGATTTGGCGAGGACGGAGGAGGAGGAGGAGAGGAGCTGGAGTTCTCATGCACCGGAGGGCGAGCATGGCAAGAAGGATTCAGGCTGGAGGAAGATGCCTTCTTGCGTTACATGGACGCCGATGATGAAGAATGCTCTTCCTGCTCCTCCTGCTCCTGCTCATGTTCCTCCGCTGTTCCTGCTGCTGTTGCTGCAGCTCCTCCTCCTCCTCATCATCACCATCATAGTCCCTTGCCCTGTTCTGCCTGTTCGGGTCTGCAGGAGGAAATCACAAGTCTGCGGGTCAGGATCGGAGAGCTGTCGGAGCGATGCGGTGAGGACGAAAAGAGGAGGAGAGGGAGGAGAGGAGAGGAAGGGGAGCAGGAGGGAAAGGAGGAGCGAGAGGAGGAGAGGAGGAGGAGGATGAGGATGAGGAGGAGGATGAGGAGGAGGAGGAGGAGGAGGACTGTGGTGTGGACTGATGATGGACTCCAGAGCTGCTGGACGAACGAGTTCGCGAAGAGGCGATGCTGAAGGAGGAAGCATATGAACGTCTGCAGGAGTTGAGGTAGAGGATAAAAAGGAGGGAAGGAGAGGAGGAGAGATGAGAGAGTAAGGAGTGAGGAAAGGGCAGGAGGAGTTGGAGGAGATGAAAGAGGAGGAGGAGATGAAAGAGGAGGAGGAGGGGGAGGTTGTACGCGAGCTGACGGTGTGCAGGTCTGCGCTGACGATGGCGGAGTTACAAGCGGAGGAGAAGAGCAACGAGAGGAGAGCGATGGAGGAGCGGCTCATGTACGTGACAGAAAATGGCGACGAGCAGGTCCGATGACTCGCCTCTCTCCTCTCCCCTGCTCCGTCCTCCCGCTCCTGCCTCTCCCTCCTTCCCCCGCACCTGTGTTTCTCGTTTCCTCTCTCCCGTCCTTTCTTTCCTCCTCCTCCCTCATCCCCTCTCCTTCTTCTCTTCCTTCGCCTGCTGCTACTTCTCACTTCCTTCCTCTCCTCGGTTCCTTCACAGACTTCACGGATAGACGAGCTGGCGACGCTCGTGCAGACTTTGAGAGCTCAGGCAAGGAAGCAGAGGGGCAGCAACTTGTTGTAATGGTTGAGGGGATGATGATGATGATGATGATGATGATGATGATGATGATGATGATGATGATGGAGATGGAGATGATGATGATGATGATGATGATGATGATGATGATGATGCAGATGATGATGATGGAGATGATGATGATGATGGAGATGATGATGATGATGATGATGATGACGATGAGGATGAGGATGAGGAT